TGTGTTAATTATTGAAACTCTCCTGCCAATTTGGTTTGAAACTGTCTCATTGCTATTTGTTTATCAGTAAAATTATGGGGAAAAAAGATCATTAAGATCTTGTTAATTTATTGTCTTTCTCAGTCAAGTTTTGCCTTTTACATACAGACTCAAGAATATAGGCACAAATACAGCCCTGTCAACACCAAATTGCAGAGATACAAGATTGTCAATTAAAATTCACACAAGCGGTTTCTCCTGCAGGAACAGCAGCAGTACTGGTATCGACAGCACTTGCTTAGCTTGCAGCAGAGGACAAAAGTGCATTTGCCGGGACACAAGAAAGGCCCAGTCGTAGCAAAGGATGCGCCAGAGTCAGTGAAAGAAGTCACAGGGCCTGCTGCCAGTCAGATTTCAGAGCCCCCTTCATCTGAGGAGCCCCCGCTCCCACCTCCAAATGAGGAGGCGCCGCCGCCTCTCCCGCCTGAGGAGCCCCAGGTACCCCTATAATTAATTATGTCTTCTGATCCTGTTATGTGTACTTTTGATGTAAATGGGTATGAACTTTCATGTGTTAAAACAACTATAAAATTCCATTTGTGAAATAATCAGATGTCTGCCCAATGAGGTTTAGAAAAGGAATTTTTCCTGAAGAAAAGATACCTTTCTTAATTGAGTGTCTCTCAATGCTAAAGGGAGATTCCTGGGTGTCTTCACAATGACAGCATGGGGCAGTAGTTACGAGCTTCAAGTTTTAGCGTCGGTTACTTAAGTTGTAGGCCAGATACTGTTACTCTGCTGGTGACCTGGGCAAGTTAACCATTCTGAACTTCAAGTGCCTCATCTGCATAATGGGCATATCCATATAATAGGTATGTTGGAAAGCTGTTAGAACATTAAGCGTGTCATACGTGGCACTGTGGCTAGAACATGGGATTTTATCACCCTGGCCAAAGATCATTGTTCTCCTAGCATTATTGAATTGAAATATTACATTGTAGTCCATCGTATAAAGTGATGGGATGGGAGATCTCTCACGGGATGAACAGAACTATAGCAGGAGGTATTCTTCTGTAGGAGAAATGATTCTCCTGCTTGGGAACCATGACATTGTTAGTCCAGTCTCTGGAATTTATGAACTCTGTTGTATTAGTGTCCATGATAGCCATCCAGAAATCCATATGGGGCTGTGTGTTTTATACAGCGTAGTTTTTCTTCATCAGCCTGAGTCTAAGGATTGTGAACTTCACAATACATTTATAAGACACTGATTTGGTTGCCGTTTTATGACTTGCTCAGAAGACTACCCTCTTTTACCTTTAGTCTGAGGACCCAGAAGAAGCAGCCAGATTAAGACAGTTGCAGGCTGCGGCGGCACGCTGGCAGCAGCACCAGCAGCACCGAGTCGGCTGCCAGTACCAGGGCATCATGCAGAAGCACACGCAGCTGCAGCAGGTCCTGCAGCAGTACCAGCAGATGATGCAGCCGCCACCACATCTGCAGGCAAGTGCTGCTGCGGCTGGCAGACAGGGACTGTGTGGGCCCGAGAAGGACTTCCTACTCCTGGGAAAGAGTTGAGTGAGGAGGACTACAGATAGCAAATGTTGACAATTAGATGTTTCCCAAGGGATGCCCGAGTAGTTAGCTGTTGCATTGCCTGAGGATTGGGCAGGATTGTGGAGTCTCTTGGGGAGGCTGGGTAGAATGGAGTCTCCTGATCATGTTAGTTTAGGCTATATGTTAGAGTACTGCTGGAACATTAAGTTAGAAAGCTGTTAGAACATTAAGTGTGTCATACGTGGCACTGTGATACTGGGGATGTAAGAACTGTACTTTTAGCCAAGTGCGGTGGTGCCTGTAATCCCAGCACAGGAGGCAGAAGGATCACTGAATTCAAACCCAGCCTGAACCACATACCACGACCCGGTCTCAAACAATCAAGCAAACAAAAGTTTATGTGTTTGTGTACTTAGGTGAAAGGCCCTGAATTCAACCCATTACACTACCCCTCAAAAAAAACCAGCAGTTTTTACCAGGTAAATGCAAATTAACTTGCATTTTTGCATACAAAACAGTATAGTAACAGGTAAATGAAAGAATGATCAGAAATGACTAAGTAAGAATAAGCTATTTTTCTTTTGACCTGGTCACACTGTGCGGTTCAGGCTGTCCTTGAACTCCTTGTATAGCCTAGGCTGGCCTCGCATGGGTTTAAGAAAGGCAGGCATCCACATTAACTAGACTGTAATGAGTACAGGTTGCTGTCTAGATCTCCTGAATTGGGACTAAGGGCTACTGATCTAGGCAAAGGTCCAATTGAAGGAGTAGGCAGAATAATTCCTTGAAGTACAAAGAGTTCTGGGAATTCAGTGTGATCCTCCTGTTTCAGCCTCCCAAATGCTGGGATTACAGCCCTCTGGCACCATGCCTAGCGGGAAGCCTATGTCTTAGTACATTAGAAAGATAATTTTGTTATCTGTAGGGCTGTAGTAATAGATCATTTTACAGGTTCTTAAAACGATCCTTAGTAATCTTAAAACTTGAAAAATCAGTCAAGCATGATGGTACATGCCTATAATCCCAGCACTGTGGGAGCTAAGGCAGGAGAATCACAAGTTCAGGCCCAACTCAGTGAGACTGTCAGAAAATAAACTTTAAAAAGGCTGTTAAGGGGCTGGGGAGACAGCTCAGCAGTCTAAGCACCTGCCTGACAAGCACAAGGACCCAGCTTTGATCCCCAGGACAACAGGCTGTGCCTGCCCTTGGACCACATAGGGTGGCACATGCATATAATCCCATCCCTGGGGAGCCTGAAACAGGAGGATCACTCCGAGTCCAAGTTGCACAGCGAGACCATGTACCAAATAAATGGGAGGGGGGCTATTAAGTAGCTCAGCACTCCCTGGGTTTAACCCCCCGTATCACCAAAAAATAAGTAAATATGAGCGTGTGTGTAAAAAAAAAAAAAAAAAAAAATTTTTTTTTTTTTTTTTTTTTTTTGTGCACCAGGAATTGAACTCAGGGCCTTGTGCTTGCTAGACAGGCACTGTGCTGCTGAGCTATAGCCCTGGCCCTATATATTTTTATAGTATATAAGAAAATTAATATAGTCTATATTGTACATGTTGATATGTAAATTCATGTTATATATAAATGTATTGTTAATGATAATAATTTGATAACTACTGCTTTTTTTTTTTTTTAAACTACTGCTAATGTAGCTGTTTGCTTTAGTTTTTGGTTTTCCAACTCAGTGATGAGTTAGCTAAATAAGCCAAAGGGGGAAAGAAGCACGATGATCAGTGAAGGGATTTAGCCAGCGTGTACTTAGCCTCTCGAAGTCCTCAGTGCTCTGAGTTCCTAAGGCTTTGTGTGCATTTGGCTCATTAATATTTCAGCTGGTGATTAACTCTCTTGTACGAATGTCTGGAAATAATGCCTGTCCTTCTGTCTGCAGACCATGTCTGCAGATGTCCAGCTGCGGCACTATGAGGTGCAGCAGCAGCAGTTCCAGCATCTCTACCAAGAGTGGGAGCGGGAGTTTCAGCTGTGGGAGGAGCAGCTCCACTCTTACCCTCATAAAGACCAGCTTCAGGAGTATGAGAAGCAGTGGAAGACGTGGCAGGGACATATGAAAGCCACCCAGACCTACCTGCAGGAGAGAGTCAGTTCATTTCAGAACCTGAAGAGCCAGTATGTGGGGAGCATGTCCCTGCCACCTCCGTTTGTCCCATATTCTCAGATGCCTCCACCTCTACCAACAATGCCCCCTCCAGTGTTGCCTCCATCCTTGCCACCGCCAGTGATGCCCCCTGCCCTGCCTGCCGCCGTGCCACCTCCCGCCATGCCCCCGCCCGTGATGCCGCCTTCTCTGCCAGCTTCTGTGCCCCCTCCAGGGATGCCTCCGTCTCTGTCTTCAGCAGGGCCGCCCCCAGTTCTTCCCCCGCCTACCCTCTCTTCTGCAGGGCCACCACCGGTTCTCCCGCCACCCTCTCTCTCTTCAGGGGCACCTCCGCCCATCCTGCCTCTCCCACCGCCACTATCTTCAGCTACCCCACCTCCAGGAGTACCTCCCCCTGGCGTTCCACAAGGGCTACCTCCTCAGTTAACATCGGCCCCAGTCCCACAGCCCTCTGGTTCTCAGAGTTCGCAAGTTCCAGAGAAACCTAGACCAGCACTGCTTCCCACTCCTGTGTCATTTGGTTCAGGCCCACCCTCCACTTACCACCCTCCATTGCAGTCAGAACAAGTGAATTCTAAAGCTCTGAGCAAGTCTTCTCTGCTGTACGGTTCCTTCTCATCTGAGCCAGGACTTGGGGAATCTTCAGCGGCTTCATCTCAGTCAATCTCTGCAGCCAAGGACATGCCAGTGAGGTCAGGTGGACTGCTTCCAGATCCTCCTAGAAGCAGTTACTTGGAAGGTCCAAGAGGTCCAAGGTAGGTCTGCTTTTTTTTTTTGGCTATTTTGTTGACTTATATTGCATAGGCTTTGATAGAGTCAAAAGCTTAATTTATACAATTTTTGTGTTCTTATACTTCTATACACATTCCTGGCTTGCAGTTCATATTGGTAGCATTGTTAACTAATCAGAAATGACATAACATTATCTAGAAAAGGTAACAATTCTGTGTGTATGATGTGACTTTTATCCAGTACAGTATGTGGACTGTAGAGCATTTAAAACCTAGAATAAAAATAACATTTTAAAGTAATACTTTTCACTTACTGACTTTTTAGCTTCAGAAATAATAATATATTTATCTTTTTAAAATTCCTACTTTGTGTATACAAAACTATTACAAAACTGAAAATCCCTGCCGTCAGCCAGGCCTGATGGCACAGGCCTCCACTCCCAGCACTTAGGAGGCTGAGGCAGGAGGATCACTGTGAGTGCCAGACCTGCCTGGGCTACATTGTGAACTCAAGGCCAGCCTGAACTACACAGCAAGAAGTGAGAGCCTGCCTCAAACAAGCCAGTGAAAAATGCCTGGCCTCGAGGGGCTCACGTGCTTTACGTTTCCTCGATTAGGGAGGTGACTTTTCTGAGCCACACACGTATTCTGAACAGAAAAAAATTGGTGCTCTCTGTTTTTCTGTTTACCATTTTTAAAACAGATTTATCTTTCTAAGTTGGTAAAATATATTTTTCTCCCTGAGTTGACGTAAATAATAGTATGTCTATAGAAAAACATTTCCAATTCATTTTTTTTCTAATTAGAAATTGTAATAGAAATACATAGTACTGGGCTGGTGAGATGGCTCAGTGGTCTAAAGCACCTACTTAGAACAAGCTCAGCAAAACAGAGGGACCGCGGTTCAATCTCCCAGCACCACATGCCAGCCAGTCCCGCCCCCTGGTGGGCT